CACAGAAACATTACTTAGGGCCACAGAATTGTTACTTAGGGACAGACACAGAATTGTTACTGAGGGACACAGAATTGTTACTGAGGTCCACAGAACTGTTACTTAGGGCCACAGAAACGTTACTTAGGGCCACAGAAACGTTACTTAGGGCCACAGAATTGTTACTTAGGGACAGACACAGAATTGTTACTGAGGGGCCACAGAATTGTTACTGAGGGCCACAGAAACGTTACTTAGGGCCACAGAAACGTTACTTAGGGACACAGAATTGTTACTCAGGGACAGACACAGAATTGTTACTTAGGGACAGACACAGAATTGTTACTAAGGGACACAGAATTTTTACTGAGGGCCACAGAAACTGTTACTTAGGGCCACAGAAACGTTACTTAGGGGGACACAGAATTGTTACTTAGGGGACAGACACAGAATTGTTACTGAGGGACACAGAATTGTTACTGAGGGCCACAGAACTGTTACTTAGGGCCACAGAAACGTTACTTAGGGCCACAGAATTGTTACTTAGGGACAGACACAGAATTGTTTACTGAGGGACACAGAATTGTTACTGAGGGCCACAGAACTGTTACTTAGGGCCACAGAAACGTTACTTAGAGACACAGAATTGTTACTTAGGGACAGACACAGAATTGTTACTGAGGGACACAGAATTGTTACTGAGGGCCACAGAACTGTTACTTAGGGCCACAGAAACGTTACTTAGGGACACAGAATTGTTACTCAGGGACAGAACAGAATTGTTACTTAGGGACAGACACAGAAAGTTTACTTAGGGCCACAGAAACGTTACTTAGGGCCACAGAAATTGTTACTTAGGGACAGACACAGAAATTGTTACTGAGGGACACAGAATTGTTACTGAGGGCCACAGAACTGTTACTTAGGGCCACAGAAACGTTACTTAGGGCCACAGAATTGTTACTTAGGGACAGACACAGAATTGTTACTGAGGGACACAGAATTGTTACTGAGGGCCACAGAACTGTTACTTAGGGCCACAGAAACGTTACTTAGGGACACAGAATTGTTACTCAGGGACAGGGGGGGAACAACAGAATTGTTACTTAGGGACAGACACAGAATTGTTACTGAGGGACACAGAATTGTTACTGAGGGCCACAGAACTGTTACTTAGGGCCACAGAAACGTTACTTAGGGCCACAGAATTGTTACTTAGGGACAGACACAGAAATTGTTACTTAGGGCCACAGAAACGTTACTTAGGGCCACAGAAACGTTACTTAGGGCCACAGAATTGTTACTAGGGACAGACACAGAATTGTTACTGAGGGCCACAGAATTGTTACTGAGGGCCACAGAACTGTTACTTAGGGCCAATTGTTAGAAACGTTATTGTTAGGGCCACAGAATTGTTACTTAGGGACAGACACAGAATTGTTACTGAGGGACTGACAGAATTGTTACTGAGGGCCACAGAACTGTTACTAGGGGCCACAGAAACGTTACTTACTGAGGGCCACAGAATTGTTACTTAGGGACAGACACAGAATTGTTACTGAGGGACACAGAATTGTTACTGAGGGCCACAGAACTGTTACTTAGGGCCACAGAAACGTTACTTAGGGCCACAGAAACGTTACTTAGGGCCACAGAATTGTTACTTAGGACAGACACAGAATTGTTACTGAGGGACACAGAATTGTTACTGAGGGCCACAGAACTGTTACTTAGGGCCACAGAAATGTTACTTAGGGCCACAGAATTGTTACTTAGGGACAGACACAGAATTGTTACTGAGGGACACAGAATTGTTACTGAGGGCCACAGAAACGTTACTTAGGGCCACAGAAACGTTACTTAGGGACACAGAATTGTTACTCAGGGACAGACACAGAATTGTTACTTAGGGACAGACACAGAATTGTTACTAAGGGACACAGAATTTTTACTGAGGGCCACAGAAACTGTTATTAGGGCCACAGAAACGTTACTTAGGGCCACAGAATTGTTACTTAGGGACAGACACAGAATTGTTACTGAGGGACACAGAAATGTTGTTACTAGGGCCACAGAATTGTTACTTAGGGCCACAGAAACGTTACTTAGGGCCACAGAATTGTTACTTAGGGACAGACACAGAATTGTTACTGAGGGACACAGAATTGTTACTGAGGGCCACAGAACTGTTACTTAGGGCCACAGAAACGTTACTTAGAGGACACAGAATTGTTACTTAGGGACAGACACAGAATTGTTACTGAGGGACACAGAATTGTTACTGAGGGCCACAGAACTGTTACTTAGGGCCACAGAAACGTTACTTAGGGACACAGAATTGTTACTTAGGGACACAGAATTGTTACTTAGGGACAGACACAGAATTGTTACTTAGGGCACACAGAAACGTTACTTAGGGCCACAGAATTGTTACTTAGGGACAGACACAGAATTGTTACTGAGGGACACAGAATTGTTACTGAGGGCCACAGAATTGTTACTTAGGGCCACAGAAACGTTACTTAGGGCCACAGAATTGTTACTTAGGGACAGACACAGAATTGTTACTGAGGGACACAGAATTGTTACTGAGGGCCACAGAACTGTTACTTAGGGCCACAGAAACGTTACTTAGGGCCACAGAATTGTTACTTAGGGACAGACACAGAATTGTTACTGAGGGACACAGAATTGTTACTGAGGGCCACAGAAACTGTTACTTAGGGCCACAGAAATTGTTACTTAGGGCCACAGAATTGTTACTTAGGGACAGACACAGAATTGTTACTGAGGGACACAGAATTGTTACTGAGGGCCACAGAACTGTTACTTAGGGCCACAGAAACGGTTACTTAGGGCCACAGAAACGTTACTTAGGGCCACAGAATTGTTACTTAGGGACAGACACAGAATTGTTACTGAGGGACACAGAATTGTTACTGAGGGCCACAGAACTGTTACTTAGGGCCACAGAAATGTTACTAGGGCCACAGAATTGTTACTTAGGGACAGACACAGAATTGTTACTGAGGGACAGACACAGAATTGTTACTGAGGGCCCACAGAAACGTTACTTAGGGCCACAGAAACGTTACTTAGGGACACAGAATTGTTACTCAGGGACAGACACAGAATTGTTACTTAGGGACAGACACAGAATTGTTACTAAGGGACACAGAATTTTTACTGAGGGCCACAGAACTGTTACTTAGGGCCACAGAAACGTTACTTAGGGCCACAGAATTGTTACTTAGGGACAGACACAGAATTGTTACTGAGGGACACAGAATTGTTACTGAGGGCCACAGAACTGTTACTTAGGGCCACAGAAACGTTACTTAGGGCCACAGAATTGTTACTTAGGGACAGACACAGAATTGTTACTGAGGGACACAGAATTGTTACTGAGGGCCACAGAATGTTACTTAGGGCCACAGAAATGTTACTTAGAGACACAGAATTGTTACTTAGGGACAGACACAGAATTGTTACTGAGGGACACAGAATTGTTACTGAGGGCCACAGAACTGTTACTTAGGGCCACAGAATTGTTACTTAGGGACACAGAATTGTTACTCAGGACAGACACAGAATTGTTACTTAGGGACAGACACAGAAACGTTACTTAGGGCCACAGAAACGTTACTTAGGGCCACAGAATTGTTACTTAGGGACAGACACAGAATTGTTACTGAGGGACACAGAATTGTTACTGAGGGCCACAGAACTGTTACTTAGGGCCACAGAAACGTTACTTAGGGCCACAGAATTGTTACTTAGGGACAGACACAGAATTGTTACTGAGGGACACAGAATTGTTTAATTAAAGAGTATGTCAGACAACATGCATAGGAGTGGCAGAGGAGGCAATGTTTTAGGAGCGAGCAGACGTGGCAGCAGAGGAAGGGGTCGAGGCAGCACTAGTCGCAGCCAGAGGCCAGTGCTCCCGGTGTCATCCAGCGGTCGTGTCTCCACCGACAACCCTGCCGTCATCGATTGGTTGGCTCGGTCGTCTTCCTCTTCCCAGGTCACCTCTGACACCTACAGCCAACGGTCGGTGGGTACGTCAGACACAACCGTTAGTTGGCATGGCCCGGGAGCAAGCCCACTGAAATCACATGTCCTCGACCTGCCCCTGTCCTTTGGTGTTCCCTCACCAAGCGAAGTATCGTATGCTGTGGGCTCAGCCCCACTGTACAGTGAGGAAGAGCTAACAGAGGGCGGTCAGGAACAGGGGGAGACATCCGCCTCTTCAGCAGCCAGGCGAAGAAGTAGTGGCGAGGAGAGTGGCTCGGTAGCCGGTCTAGAGACAGGTCTGTCTCCTGACCCACACGCAGCCGAGGGGGCTAGTAGTGAGGCGGAGACCCTAATTGATGATGATGAGGCTGATCGCACTTGGCAGCCTCGTCGTCATCAGGCTATTGCTTCCGCATCATCAGGAGAAGAGGGTGGCAGCTTGGCAGCGAGCAAAACAGTCGGTGGGTTGCCAGGAGGCAGCAGGGTGGCAGCAGTGTCAGTGGAGGCAAACGGCCACGGAGTAGAGCACCAGCTCCACTGCAGCCTACCACCACGGCCAGTAGTGGTGCCGGTGTGCACGGAGGAAGTAGCAGTCAGCCAGTGAGGAGTAGCGGGGGCAAAGTTTCCTACTCGGCGTGTGTGGCAATTTTTCGTCAAGCCGCCCGAGGTAGTAAACGTAGCCGTATGTCGACTATGTGGCCAGAAAGTCAAGCGTGGCCAGGGGGCCCATGTTGGGACTACAGCGTTGCGTCAGCATATGCAGCGTCGCCATTCGGTGGCCTGGGAAAACCGTGATAAAGATACGGCGGTTCTGCCTGCCCCAGCCCAGGGTTCCATTTTGTCATAGGGTGCTGGCAGATTACGGGCCTCCCATTGCTGCTGCCAGGCCTTAATCTGCCATGGGCCCCTGTACCGCCTCCTCATGCTGCTGCCAGGTCCACAGTGTCTCATGGGTCCCTGAACCGCCTCCCATTGCTGCTGTCTCCATCGCCACACTCTGCCATGTGCCACTTTCAGGTCTCCTCACACTGCTGGTGTGTTCCATTTTTTGTCATAGGGTGCTGGCAGATTACGGGCCTCCCATAGCTGCTGCCAGGCCCCTAATCTGCCATGGGCCCCTGTACCGCCTCCTCATGCTGCTGCCAGGTCCAGAGTCTCTCATGGGTCCCTGTACGGCCTCCCATTGCTGCTGTCTCCATCGCCACACTCTGCCATGTGCCACTTTCAGGTCTCCTCACACACTGCTGGTGTGTTCCATTTTTTGTCATAGGGTGCTGGCAGATTACGGGCCTCCCATTGCTGCTGCCAGGCCCCTAATCTGCCATGGGCCCCCGTACCGCCTCCTCATGCTGCTGCCAGGTCCACAGTCTCTCATGGGTCCCTGTACGGCCTCCCATTGCTGCTGTCTCCATCGCCACACTCTGCCATGTGCCACTTTCAGGTCTCCTCACACACTGCTGGTGTGTTCCATTTTTTGTCATAGGGTGCTGGCAGATTACGGGCCTCCCATAGCTGCTGCCAGGCCCCTAATCTGCCATGGGCCCCTGTACCGCCTCCTCATGCTGCTGCCAGGTCCAGAGTCTCTCATGGGTCCCTGTACGGCCTCCCATTGCTGCTGTCTCCATCGCCACACTCTGCCATGTGCCACTTTCAGGTCTCCTCACACACTGCTGGTGTTTTCCATTTTTTGTCATAGGGTGCTGGCAGATTACGGGCCTCCCATTGCTGCTGCCAGGCCCGTAATCTGCCATGGGCCCCGTACCGACTCCTCATGCTGCTGCCAGGCCCGTAATCTGTCATGGGCCCCTGTTGTCGCTTGTTGGCATATTCCGCTCGTTCAAATGCTCCTTCTCCTGCTACTCCTCTTCACGGATTCCGTCAGCAGTCTTTCTGGAATCCGTTTCCAAGAGACAACAGTTTGCGAGCACGCACCCGACGGTGCAGAAGCTGAACGTCTTCCTGTCCAAGTTGCTGCTGCCAGGCTCGTAATCTGTCATGCGCCCCCTGTACCGCCTCCTCATGCTGCTGCCAGGTCCAGAGTGTGTCATGGGCCCCCTTACCGACTCCTCATGCTGCTGCCAGGCCCGTAATCTGTCATGGGCCCCCGTACCGCCTCCTCATGCTGCTGCCAGGTCCAGAGTGTGTCATGGGTCCCTGTACGGCCTCCCATTGCTGCTGTCTCTCCATCGCCACACTCTGCCATGTGCCACTTTCAGGTCTCCTCAGAACACTGCTGGTGGTTTCCATTTTTGTCATAGGGTGCTGTATGGCCTCCCATTGCTGCTGCCTCCACCGCCACACTGTGGCTCCACACTCTGGTTTTGGCCCCGTGACTGCCCAAATGAGTGAAGTGTGCGGTGATTCTAAGATCGACGGCACTCATCTGCATGTCATACTGACTGTCAGTATTTATTTCTCTTCCCCAGCAGACTCCAAGGGCATTTAAATTAAAGGTACAGTGTTCTGCACTAATATAAAGGCTCTCTGAAGCCTAGAGAAACACCCTTTTATAAGTTAAATTCACAGCGAATATATTAGACTCGAATCAAAATTTTTTCACGAATTCGCCGAATCAGTCGAATCGAATTTTTGAATAATTCGCTCATCTCTAATCATTGTCATGTTGGAAAAGTGCACGACGACCAAGGGCACGGGAGTGATGGTAGCATCTTCTCTTTCAATATAGAGCAGTACATCTGTGAATTCATAAAACCATCAATGAAATGCAACTCCCTGACACCAACAGTCCCACAGAAGGACACTGCCACCACCATGTTTCACTGTAGGCACCATGCATTTTTCTTTGTATGGTGTTGCAAAGGTGAGATGTACAGTTTTGGAGCCATCAATTCCAAAAACATTTATCTTGGTCTCTTCACTCCAGAGTCCCGATAGTCTTCTTTTTCAGCATGGGCCCTATTCTATCCAGGCTTTTTGTGCATGGGCTTTAGGAGAGGATTTCTTTGTGGATGAAAAAATACAGAAATCCCCCTGCGCTCCACAGAACCTAGTGAGTTAGCTGCTATCACCTATTCTATATACCACAAGATAAGTGAAACAAAATAATATAAGTGGTGAAGCGCTCAACTTAAATACTCAAAAACTAGTGCAATATCCCCATATATAAATATTAAATCCCTAGTGATATAATAATACACAAATGACTTGTAGAGTTAGGACCACAGATACTCAGGGTGCCGTGACGCGGCTCTGTGGCTTACTGGTGGCAGTGGAGGAGAATACTTTCTGGCAGAGTTCGTTGTGTGTGAGGGGAGTAATTGGAGTGGTACTGACTGCCTGGAGGAGGATCAAGGTTGGTGGAGGCAGTGGAGGAGATTAACATCTGGCAGAGATTATATATATATATAAAAAGCTCTGTGACCCGCAAGGGTCGAATGTGGAAGGTGAGGGGGCATTTCTGCTATTGAGGGGAGTCACGTCAAGATTTTCACGAAGAGCACTATTTCAGCATGGAGTGGCAATATTTGAACACTTTGTTATAATTTTTGCACAGTGTGGCATCACTATTTTAATTAATATTTTATTTTAAATTGATATAATCAATTGCATTTCAGTATCACTTTTTTGCACAGTTTAAGAGATATTAGTTATCACTATATCACCAGGGATATATATTATATATGAGGATATTGCACTAGTTTTCTATTCATTATTATTTATTAGTATTATTTGTATATCTGCATAGCCTAAGAGGTATCATTTGTGTATTATTATATCACTAGGGATTTAATATTTATATATGGGGATATTGCACTAGTTTTTGAGTATTTAAGTTGAGCGCTTCACCACTTATATTATTTTGTTTCACTTATCTTTGTGGATGACACCTATGCGTGCCATTCCTTTGCAGTGTACGCCGTATTGTGTCATGGGAAACAATTACCCAAGTTTGGCTTTCTACTTCTTTAGTTAACTGCAGTTGTTTTCTTCAACCCTTCTCATCAGAAGACACTCCTGTCGAGGTCTTAACTTTCGTGGACGTCTATGTGAGATGGTTGCAGTTCTATCTTTATTACATTTTTGTATCACTTTTTCTAAAGTATTCTGACTGATAACTAAAGCTTTGCTGATCTTCGTGTAGCCTTGTCCTTTCTTGTGTAAAGAAATATTTTCTTTCTCAGGCCTTGTGACATTTCTCTTCCATGTGGTGCCATTGCTAACAGCATGAAATGGGAAGGGGTTTTCTTTGTTAAGTAAAGCCCTTTTATACCCAACTGTCTAATGACTGTTTAATGAATAATTAGACTCCACCGTAGTTGAATTCTTGTTCATTGGGATTTTGCTGTATAAAACGTAGCTTTGCTTTTAAGACTTTTATTGGGGTGTATGCATTTTTGCAACATGGTTTTGAGTGAATTTGCTAGGAAAAATACTTTTTGTGTGCAAATTAACAAATCTTGTTTGCAATCAATGGCCCACATTTGTGGGAGTATTTTGTAGTATAGTGTCCCATAGAAAAAGTTGATTCTGAATGGAAAGCAAAGGTTTTCTGACAAATCTGTTGGGGGTGTACTCATTTAATCTGAGCAGTGTATATGTATGTATATATATATATATATATATATATATATACACACATATACACATATATATACACACACACACACACACATATATATTTATTTATTATTAGGTATACCTGTTCAATTGCTTGGCAACACAAATTGCTAATCAGCCAAGCACATGGCAGCAACTCAATGCATTTAAGCATCTAGATGTGGTGAAGACAACTTTCTGAAGTTCAAACCAAGCATCAGAATGGGGGGAAAAAGGGGATTTAAGTGACTTGGCAATGGTTGACTTGGGAATTTGAGTGACGTGGCATGGTTGTTGGTGCCAGACAAGCTGGTCTGAGTATTTTAAAAACATTTTAAAAATGCATAACACACTATTAACTCTAGGGTTTACAGAGAATGGTCTGAAAAAGAGAAAATATCAAGTAAGCAACTGTTGTGTGGACGAAAATGCCTTGCTGATGTAAGAGGTCAGAGGAGAATTGGCAGACTGTTTTGAGATGTTAGAAAGGCAACAGTAACTCAAATAACCACTCGTTACAACCAAGGTATGCAGAATACCATCTCTGAACACACAACACATCAAACCTTGAAGCAGAAGGGCTACAGCAGCAGAAGACCACACCAGGTGCCACTCCTGTCAGCTAAGAACTGGAAACAAAGGCTACAATTTGCACAGGCTCACCAAAATTGTACAATAGAAGACTGAAAAAACCTTGGTCTGAGGAGTCTCAGCTGCAACATTCCGTGGTAGGGTCAAAATTTGGTGTAAACAACTTGAAAGCATGGATCTATCCTGCCTTGTATCAATGATTCACAAAGCTCAAATAATCTCAAACTGGTTTCTTGAACATGAGAATGAGTTCACAGTGTGACAATGGCCTCCACAGTCACCAGATCTCAATCCAATAGAACACCTTTCAGATGTGGTGGAATGGGAAAGTCACATCATGGATGTGCAGCCGACAAATCTGCAGCAACTGCATGATGTTATGATATCAATATGGATCAAAATCCCAGAGGAATGTTTCCAACACCTTGCTGAATCTATGCCACGAAGAATTAAAGCAGTTCTGAAGGCAAAGGGGGGTTCAATCTAGTACCAGCAAGGTGTACCTAATAAATTGGCCGGCGAGGGTATATATACATACAAAAACATGTTTTTTTAAACAGGTACCTGTCCCTACCTGCATGCACTTCTCAGTACATGGCCCCATTTGTCTGATAGATTTCTCTATACATATTTCACGTCTGCATCCAAAATGGCCACTGAAATCTCAGAAGAGCTCTGTGTGTAACTAGACACAGGCTCTCCCAAGATGGCACCTAGCGTCCATGGGAAAAGACACTTTGATGCTGGGTTCCCCGTCACATGTCACACCAGGGATAAAGGACAGCCATGTGACCACTTTGTTTACTACTGTAAGATAAACAGGAATGTGACTTAGTGATCACTATTCCGATGAAGCTGCAGCAGCCCTCCTCAGATTAGCAATAGTTACTGCTACCAATTGTCTACTTGTACCTCTGTAGAAACCTGGGGCTTGCAGTAAACAATGCTAGAGCCTGTGCACTGCATGTTTGACATATTGATTCTGGTTGCAATGCTCTGTAGGCCTGAATGAAAAAAAATGCATTTTTTTTATCATGGTTTGTGTATTTATTACATTTTTTGCCTTTAAGATCTCCTTTGGATACTTACTCTTAAAATGGAACCTAAGAGTACATACAGTTTCACAGTTAGCTTACACTTCACACTAGCTTACTGAGCGGTCTACTCTGAGAGCATCTCATCATGGTATAGGGCTGCCCTTAGCCCTGACATCGGCAGAATTGTATAGCTATTTAGCCCTACTTAACAATGATGGCGCCTTGACGAGTAGGCATTGACCCCCTGCAGTCTCATGTTTAACTTACTGAAGTAACTTGTGATTATAGGCCTATGTGTATATCAGTATGATTCTTGCCTGGCGGGGGATGAGGGCCTACAACACAGCTGCTTTAGCAGCTTCTCTGTCTACGTACCTCTTTTTCTCTGAGTGGGTTCATGGAGGCTTACGTGGACTCTGCATTCAGCCAAACCCTTATTTTGTTGTTACAGTTAAGCTCACACTTGATTATTTGCTGCCTTTTGCCTTTTTGTTGTTGCTTTTGTCATGCTGTGGATCCGTCCTCCACCATCCTCAGTATGGCATTGTTTCCTGTATAATGCATGAGAGAACTACTTTTTATACTTTTATTTACTGTTTTAGAGGTTATGGTTGAACCTGTGAGGTTTCTTTTGTTCCAAATTGGTCAGTTGACTGGGGTGTTTGCTGTAAACACATGTTCCACATGCCAGGGTTGTACCTCTACCCCATGGGGCTATAGTCTTGGAATTGGTTGGGATGGGTGGAGGCCATCTGAATATTACCTTTATTACCAATATTGCCTGCACTGCCCAGTGAGGGGCTAGAGGCCCTATCCTCAAGGCTTTGGTCTCTAGCTTTCCTGGGCCGGGCAGGCCCAGGATGCATACCCCCCCTTCTGTTTAGCAGGCTGCGCCATCAGGAGCATGGTGTTGTACGGCCGTCGGGTTGCCTCCCAGCTACCAACCTTTACTGAGTCCATAAGGAACTTTTAACCCCCCCTCTGCCCCCATGTGGGGATGGAGGTCACTGGTATTGTGTGTTCTTTTTTTTACCATACCCTTTAGGTTAGAGGGTTCTCAATTTTGTCTCATTCTTTCAAATTGCCTTTCTAGGAAGTGTAGATAATTGGGCCCTGGGATCTAGGGACCTACTGTGCCTTACCTCAACTCCCAATAAACTACTCCCCACATTGTGGTTGGAGTTTTTCTTCTCTCCACATGAGATTCTATCTAGTCTTGCTGTTCCTGACTCTCCCTTTGCTTCACACACATTCCCTCTTTTACTAGTTTAAATTCTTTCCCCCTCTCTAACTAAAGCAACTTCTTTCCAAGGGCCTTCGCGGGTTTTTTCAGCTCTATACTTTTTATAAACCGGGTCTCCTTTTACTGCTCACCTTTTTTTTTATTATTATCACACGTCTCTCAAGATCGTTTCCTGGAATGTCAACGGCCTTAATGCCCCAGAAAAAATATCTACACAATGTGATCAAAAGTTTGACACCTGACCATCACACCTACAATATACAAGTTTGTTAAATACTGTATGCCATTCCAGAACCACGAGCACTGATGCACAACCGAACACTTTGGGGCTATAACAGGTTTCACTGGAAAGCATTTCTGTGGGAATCTGGACCATTTAGTAAAAAGAGCACTTGAAAGGTCTAGTACTGATGTTGAATGAGAAGGTCTGGCACGCAATAGGCATTTGAGTATATCCCAAAGATTTATGCCTCTATGAAGGCAATTCAGGTTCCTCCACACGAAGCTCAACAAACCATATCATTTTGAACCTGACATTTGGGCACAGTCACGTCCTAAAACTGTCATCACAAGGATGGAAGCACAAAGTTGTTTAATATTTCTTTGTATGCTGTAATAAGAACCTTCATTGGAAACACCTGCACTTAATAATTGGGAGGAGGTGTCACATAATTTTTGCCATATACTGTAGTATGATAGATTATCAGGTGTCCACAAACTTTTGATCATATACAGGTGAAACTCGAAAAATTAGAATATTGTGCAAAAGTTCATTTATTTCAGTAATGCAACTTAAAAGGTGAAACTAATATATGAGATAGACTCATTATATGCAAAGCAAGATAGTTCAAGCTGTGATTTGTCATAATTGAGATGATTATGGCTTACAGCTCATGAAAACCCCAAATCCACAATCTCAGAAAATTTGAATATTGTGAAAAGGTGCAATATTCTAGGCTCAAAGTGTCCCATTCTAATCAGCTAATTAAGCCAAAACACCTGCAAAGGGTTCCTGAGCCTTTAAATGGTCTCTCAGTCTGGTTCAGTAGGAATCACAATCATGGGAAAGACTGCTGACCTGACAGTTGTGCAGAAAACCATCATTAACACCCTCCATAAGGAGGGAAAGCCTCAAAAGGAAATTGCAAAAGAAGTTGGATGTTCCCAAAGTGCTGTATCAAAGCACATTAATAGAAAGTTATGTGGAAGGGAAAAGTGTGGAAGAAAAAGGTGCACAAGCAGCAGGGATGACCGCAGCCTGGAGAGGATTGTCAGGAAAAGACCATTTAAAAGTGTTGGGGACTTTCACAAGGAGTAGACTCAGGCTGGAATCGGTGCATCAAGAGCCACCATACACAGACAGATCCTGGACATGGGCTTCAAATGTCGTATTCTCTTGTCAAGCCACTCCTGGGCTAAAGAAAAACAGACCTTGTCTGTTGCTCAGTGGTCCAAAGTCCTCTTTTCTGATGAGAGCAACTTTTGCATCTCATTTGGAAACCAAGGACCCAGAGTATGGAGGAAGAATGGAGAGGCACACACTGCAAGATGCTTGAAGTCCAGTGTGAAGTTTCCACAGTCTGTGTTGATTTGGGGAGCCATGTCACCTGCTGGTGTTGGTCCACTGTGCTTCATTAAGTCCAGGGTCAACGCAGCCATCTACCAGGAGATTTTGGAGCACTTCATGCTAGGCGAATTTATGGGGATGCTGACTTCATTTTCCAGCAGGACTTGGCACCTGCCCACACTGCCAAAAGCACCAAAACCTGGTTCAATGACCGTAGGATTACTGTGCTTGATTGGGCAGCAAACTCGCCTGACCTGAACCCCATAGAGAATCTATGGGGCATTGCCAAGAGATAGATGAGAGACATGAGACCGAACAATGCAGAAGAGCTGAAGGCCGCTAGTGAAGCATCCTGGTCTTCCATAACACCTCAGCAGTGCCACAGGCTGATAGCTTCCATGCCACGCCGCATTGAGGCAGCAATTGCTGCTAAAGGGGCCCAAACCAAGTACTGAGTACATATGCATGCTTATACTTTTCAGAGGTCCGATATTGTTCTATGTACAATCCTTGTTTTAGTGATTGCATGTAATATTCTAATTTTCTGAAATTGTGGATTTGGGGTTTTCATGAGCTGTAAGCCATAATCATCACAATTATGGCTTGAACTATCTTGCTTTGCATGTAATGAGTCTATCTCATATATTAGTTTCACCTTTTAAGTTGTACTACTGAAATAAATGAACTTTTGCACAATATTCTAATTTTTCGAGTTTCACCTGTAGTTGGTGACTTAATGAGTCTCTTTTACAGACGCCAGGGATTCATGCAAACCTGACATCGGAACTGAACAACTTTTTTAATCTAATCAGGAAATCCGTGGACAATCCAATCATAATTTGAGCCTCTCACAAATGCTACATTCAAGGCATACTCATAAAACACGGCCAGAAGCTCAAGAAACTACAGGAAGGAGAGACCAAAGAATTAATCCTAAAACTGCAAACCCTTGAGATTCATCATAAAAAAACAAGAATGTCTCCTCAACTAGGTAATGAAATTGCTGAACTCCGGGAACATGTACGCAACCTCTCCTTCTTTAAAACAAAATGCCTAATTACACAGGCTTTTTGGCAGAGCGTTACCTCACACACTACGCACTTGGCAATTAAAAGTTTACATACCCTGGAATGTTTGGCCTTGGTACAGACACACAAGGTGACACACATGGGTAAAATGCCAATTAGAGGTTAATGTCTCACATCTGTGGCTTTTTAAATTGCAATTAGTGTCAGTGTATAAATATTCAATGAGTTTGTTAGCTCTTACATGGAAGCACTGACTAGGCTAGATACTGAGCCATGGGTATCAGAAAAGAACTGTCAAAAATCCTGCGTAACAAGGTAATGGAACTTTATAAACATGGAAAAGGGCATAAAAAGATGTCCGAAACCTGGAATATGCAAATCAGTACTGTTAAAACACCTATTAAGAAGTGGAAATTTTGAGGATCTCTTGATACAAAGCCAAGGTCAGGTAGACCAACAAAGATTGTAGCCAAAGGCCAACTATTCCAGGGTATATACACTTTTGATCATGGCCATTTGGGTGATATCTGTTATCATTATGATTTAAAAAGGAGCCAAACAACTATTTGATAATAAATGGCTTCATATGACCATCATCCTTCAATAAAAGAACATTTTTTGGCATGATCAGTCATATTTTCAATATCAATGCCAAAAGTTCACAATTTCTGCCAGGTTATGCAGTTTTGAGCACAACTGTAGCATCAGCTACATAAAGTATACAGTGCTGTGTTCTGGCAGCTGGATGAGGACTTACCATCTCCTACTAGAGCAAAATTGAGTGCAGCCAATCGCTGCTCAGCTATTAGGGTAGATGGGACAAACTGCCCCCTCCTGGACACAGGGTGTACTGAAGAGTCTGGTGCCCATCAGCATTGGGACACTAGTGCTTTTGGAGGGGGACTACCATTTTTGGGGAGAACCCCTTTTTAAAGCAACCCCCCAGTACTGAAGAGCATTTCAGTGCACTGTGCTGCAAAACAATGCATCAATCCCTATTTTAATTTTTCATGCATTAGGGAGAGTTGCTGCCCTTTAATTTTGAATGAACTGCCCAATGCAGTGTGCCTCACAGAAAAATGTGTGGGTTGTGGCACATAGCATTGTAAATGTACAGTATAATAAATACACCTTCCCTAGACCTCTGTAACTATTGCCAAATCCTCCACCCAAGGTGCTACATTTTGACTTTCTGTACAACCTCTATCTGCTATCCTCTGCGCAGAGACATGGGGGTTTATTTACTAAAGCTAGAGAGTGCAAAATCAGTCTCACTTCTAGATAGAAACCAGGTTCCAGATTTTATTGCCAAAGTTTAATTGGACAATCTGAGATTAAAAGCTGATTGGTTTCTATGTAGAAGTAAACTTAATTTTGCACTCTCCAGCTTTAGTAAATAAACCCCATAGGGACATCACCTAAATTTCTTCACAACTGAATAATGTAATTTTAATGAAATTCAGTTGTAATTTAACCCTCATCCATTCAGCTGTTGCTTTATGATTATGGATCTCTTACATAAGCATAAAATGGATTAATTAGAGTTCCATGAATCATGTAAGGATTACATTCAAACACTTTTCCTAAACCTATCGTGTTGCTTCTGTATGTCCCAGCAAGGATGGCCTTTGTTTAAATGACATTCTGGGCAAGATTTGTTTTCCGGATCTCCCACTGAAAAGTACAGTGTATAGATTTGTAATTTAGCACAACCTAAAGAGGAACTTCAACCTTTATGACCCTCCTACATCCCCCCCCCCCCACACACTTACCTTTGACTGCTCTGCAGAGTTAGTATACTAACCTAGCCAGCAGATCCAGCATTGACCTGCTTGGAACCTCTTCTTTGGAGCTGCTGCACGGGTCCGGTGCCGCCTGGGCAGGTACCCCCTTCCTGCCCAGGCCAATTTCCAGCTTTCAGAACTGTTGCACTTTGAATGACAATTGCGCGGTCATGCAACACTGTACCCATATTAAATTTGTATAATTTTTTTGTGACAGATAGAGCTTTATTTTGGTGGTATTTAATCACCTCTTAGTTTTTTTTATTTTTTCTTAAACAAACCAAAAACCACTGAAAATTTTGAAAATTAAAAGTTTTTTCTTAGTTTTTGTTATAAAATTTTGTAAATAAGTGATTTTTCTCCTTCACTGATGTGCGCTAATGAGGCTGCAGTGATGGGCACTGATAGGCTGCACTGATGAACACTGATAGGTGGCACTGATGGGCACTGATAGGCGGCACTGATGCACACTGTTAGGCAGCACTGACTGACACTGATTGGCAGCACTGATAGGTGGCACTGACTGTGATTGATAGGTGGCTCTGACTGGCACTGATGGGTGACATTGAAAGGCAGCTCAGATGGGCACTGATATGTGGCATTGATGTGCACTGGTAGGTACTGAAATGTGGCATTGATGGGCACTGGCAGGTGGCATGGATGAGCACTGACAGCTGGCACTGACAGGTGGCACTGCTGGGGCTACACAGATCATCAGGGCACACTGATCATCAGTGCCCTGATGATCAGTGTACATGTCCCCTCTGAGGGATGCCGATTACCGGCTCTCCTCTTCTCTCGAGCTGTCAGCGTGACAGCTCGTAAGGAGAGAAATGGTGATAACCAGCATTTCTCTATTTACATGCGATCAGCTGTGATTGGACACTGCTGATCACATGATTGAGCCGTCATCTTCAGCTCATTCTGTTGATCGGTGATCAGCTGTGTCTGAGGGACACAGCACACCGCTGATCACAGCGCTGCGCGCTCCCAGAGCCGCGCCTGCGCGGTTAGAATGGGAAGACGTCATATGACGTCCTCCCAGAATGAGAGAACTGCCTTGCACTCGTCATTGTACTATATGGCAGGTGGGAGGCAGTTAAAGAGCCACCTAGGCCTAATGTCAAGGAAGAGAGTATCCACCTGGATAATTTAGGTGGAGGAGGGTATTCATGTAGATGACAGTGATACGGAGACTGAGCTGGAACAATTGAATCCTCCCATCATTAAGGCAGTCAGTGAGGTGGCCCCAGTTGAGCTATTGACTCAGGTCATTCAGTCTCAAAAACAGGATGCAGCAGGCCCTACTAAGGGCAATGGAGACTCAGTCTAAACTGAAAGTAACTAAGACTGATATGAGGAAATCCTTTCACTGCAAAGAGACAGAACACCTCCAAGCTCAGTGTCTACAGAGAAGGGATGATCCAGATCCTGCAACTGAGTTACTGAAGGCATTACAAAAATTCTTGCTTGCCAAGAAGGCAGGAAACTTCAAGCGGTTTCAGTGAAGGAGCCAGCTGAGAACCCTGACAAAGTCCAGAGCTCCAAAAGAGGAAGGAATCCGAAATCCAGATCAAAGCACAATAAGAAGAGTTCAGCTCGCACTGCCCCTACACTCCAGCTGGAGATCCAGCCACCTAAGGCTGGACTGAGGGCACAGGCAGTCAATGCACCATAGCCCCCTCCAGAGTCACCACTAGGTCAGCAGTCAGCAAGGGAAAGGGGAAACTTTGCCCACTCTAAGGGGAGAGATAATCTGCCAGGAAAACTCACAGGCTTCTCTCCCATAGTGTCAGTACAAGTGGATGGAATCTACACCAAAGCTCTACTGGAGACTGGTGCACAAGTGAGACTGCTATGTAGGGATTTATATTAATTCAGCTATATCCAAGCAAAACACCCTCCCCTTCTCCAGCAAAAAAAATATTTGGGTTTGAGAGTTAAATATACTAGATAACTTTTTTCCAAAGCAATTTTTATAATCTAAATTTTCCTTTACTGATATATCAAATGCAAAAAAGAGCAAAGAACAGTAACCAACTATTTGCTGGTCACAGTAAAGTAAATTAAAAGCTAATGGTTGGCATGGATCACTGCACTTCACACTTCATTATTATATATTTTCTTAAATATGTCAAATTATACCTGGTTTCTTTACCAATTAAATAGTTAATATAATACCACATTCTACTGAAATAATCACATAGATGAGTAATACAGCAGCTGTTATAAATGGTGTGGGATTTTTGCAAACTGGATCTTATGTTGCCAGAAATTATATAACCCAAATTTGTTTTCTCTGTTAGTCATGGTATAAAAGACTACAATATGAGTTTATAGCAGAAAGCATGCTATTTCAGTTCTACTCAAATATTCTAATTCCCCAACAAAGCATACTAAGTATTACTAACATAAGTATTTGATTATATTTACATATATCTTTAGCACATGTTGGGGCTCATTTACTTAAAGGGTAATTTTTTTCTCCAAACTTGTCCATTTGAAAGTAAGACAGTATAAAGTGCAAGATGTTAGGGATTTTTTTTGTTTTATTGTTGATGTAGAAAAATAGCTAAGGTGTTCTACATGCATCCGAAACTCAGCAGTGTGGATCCAATAATATATAAATGGTGCTGAGAGCTTGCCTGTAGAGAGAAATGCTGGAGATGCAAACAGACTTAATAGAAGTGGAACACTAGGAACTAGTTGAGCTTGTTTTGACCTACATGGTTTACTTGGTCAATTAGTGCTGGTAAGTGCATTCACCTATTGGTGTATGGTGGAGCATATTTGAAGGCAACATGACTTGCTATGAAAGGAAGTGTACTGGGTATTCTGGTAAGACTTGGAAAGAGACAACAACATATTTTCGGCCACTGAAAATCAATGCAAGGGGCATTCTTACCACTGACCATAGATGTAAAAGGGCATTTTTCCTCACATTGACCAGAACTGTAAGGAGCATTTTTCTCAAGCACTTCATTAACCTTAATCAAATAGTAAATAAAGGTTGAGAATGTGGATTAGTTGTTTTACATTTCTGTTCTGTTCGTCTGTAGACTATTTGCAGATAATGAAAGAAAATCTGGAATATACAGGTTTATAACTGGCTTAATTGGAGGAAAATAAATCCTAACGTTCCTTAACATAAAATATCTGAGCATCTCTCCTACTGTCAAAATTAAAGATATTGGCAATTGGACTGAAAAAAATACCTTTGGCTATCGACGTTTTGACTCGCCAGATCCCTTTCACTACTTTAAGCGGTAGTGAACCACAAAAAAAAAATTAAAAAAAATATTCTCTTTGCAAGTCAAGAGCATAATGTGCTAGTATGCATTGCATACTAGTGCATTATGAATGACATAACTGAAAACAAAGCCCTTCAGCGGAGCGCTGTCACGGCACCCCGAGGCTTTCATCTTCACCTGGTCTTCCTTCTGGGTTCGCGAGCTGCAGCCATCTGATTGGACGAGCCACGATGCTGTCACTCCCGTGCATGCGCGAAAGGAGTTTCGGTTGTGGCGGGGCTCTCTCAATGGATGGCACACTGTCCAGTGAGAGCGCAGTGCGCATCCACCAGTAGCATCACCGGCGCTTCTACAGCAATTATCTCCTGAACGGTGCACGTTTAGGACATATTTACAGTATCTACAGGTAAGCCTTACTGAAGGCTTAGCTGTAGCTAAAAGATGCAAAATAGAGTACTTCCACTTTAAAATAATGTAACTTAGCTACGTGCTCTCCAGAGGATTTACCCCCCCCCCCCCCCCCACTTCCTGACCAGGTGATTTTTGTAATACGTTGCTGCGTTGCTTTGACTGACAATTGCGCAGTCATGCAACACTGTACATAAATTAAACTTTAGGATTTCCCACAAATAGAGTTGTCTTTTGGTGGTATTTGATCACCACTGGGTTTTTTATTATTTGCGCTATAAACAAAAAATGCCGACAATTCTGAAAAAAAAAATCACTTTTTGCTATAAAATATATCCAATAAAAAATTTTAAAAATATAATTTCTTCATAAATTTAGGCCAAAATGTATTCTTCTACATGTTCTTGCTAACAAAAAATCAATCCCAATACGTGTACTGTAAATGAATTGGTTTACGTTAAAGTTATACATAAAGTTATATATAAAGTTATTACTGACACTGTATTAATGACACTGGGCAGTAAGGGGTTAACATCTGGGGCGATCAAAGGGTTAACTGTGTGTTTTACTGGGTGCTGTGTTTTACTAGGGAGACATGCTGTTTTGTATCTCTCTGCTGTGCATTTCCATGCTGACAGGAGAGAGACCTGTGTTGTTTACACATAGGTCTCTCCTCTGTCAGCTTTACCCGACGATCACCGAGTGCCGGCCGGGATTCAGCTGCCGAGAACTGATGATTCACATCCCTAGCTGCCAATATCGGCACAGTGCGGTGCGTGCGCCCAGGAATGCAAATCACGGATATATACGTGATTTTGCGCAGCCCTGCTGCCCTGTAGCAGTACTTCTGCTATAGGGCGGCAGGAAAGTGGTTAATACAACTTAAAATAATACATATATCCTTTTTATTTTTGTACAAACATAACTAACTTTCTTTTGGCAGTATTGTCTAGCAAAAATAATTGTTGTTTCTTTGCAACCTTTAGGCAAAAAAATAAATAAATCTAGCAAAACAAAAACAATGCATTTTTTTTTTCGAATTTGACCAGTGTTAGTTTTTTTAAAAAAAAAAGTACTGTAAATAAAAAAAGTACAAATCTTTTTCTATAATTTGCCATAACAATAATAATAGTGTTAATTAACTGGACAAAGGTCTCAAGCATTCACTCAGTTGTAATTAATTTTTCCTGTATTTTGTCTGTTATTACGTCCTATAATTGTCAACTCCATTTAGTGGCCATAATGCAATATCTTACTGAAATGCCTCAATTGGGAAGAGCTAACAATCGGAATAAATATTCATATTAGACAAAATACAGGGACAATTCATTATGGCTGGGTAAATGTTTGTCATTTTTGTCCTGTGAATGTTTTATAAATAGACCTCTAAAATTGTTGTGAATTGTAGATTTTTTTAACAAATATGAAAATTGTTTACTGTAACACTTAAAAAATTAATGAATAAAACAAATAAAAGAAAACATTTATACAGTAATGCTAAAAAATAGAATAAAAAAATAGAAAAAAAATCATCATCAAAAAAAAAAAAAGATTGCTAAAGGGGTAAGGAGAGGAAGTAGTTGATTTGGGCTGATAAGAGTTAACTTAAAGTGGTTGTAAAGGCTCAAGGTATTTTACTGCATTAGGTTAAAAAACTTTCAATGGTCAATTTTGCTGCCCCTCTTATACTTATCTGAGCCCGATCTCGATTCAGTGATATGTAGCGTTTCTTTTGGCTCTCTCTCTCTCCTCATTGGCTCAGAGACAGCAGAGTATTCAGATATGTCCATGTTGAAGATACTACAATTAAAGGAGAGGAATCATTCTTAGACCTATTTTGTCTTTCCAGGAAGACTTCTGCTGAACCCTATACAAGCAACTGAAAAGTAATGGACTGGACACAGAACATCTGCTAT